GAAGGAAAAAAGAGAGGGAGAACGAAGGAAGGAAGGAAAGAAAGGTGGAAAGAAAGAGGGAGAGGGGAGGAAAGAGAGAGAAAGGAAGAAAGAAGAAAAGAGGGAAAGATGGAAAGAGAGAGAGGAAGACAGAAGGGAAGAAGGGAAGAGGGGGAAAGAGAGAGAAAAGGGAAAAGGGCGAGAAGGAAGGGGGGGGAGAGAGAAAGAGAAAGGAAGAAAAAAGAAGGAAAGAAGGAAAGAAAAAGAAAGAAAGAGAGAAAGAGACAGAAAGAAGGAAAAAGGGCAAGAAGGAAGGAGGGAGGGAGAGAGAGAAAGAAAGGAAGAAAAAGGAAAGAGGGAAAGAAGGAAAGAAAAAGAAAGAAAGAAAGAAAGAAAGAAAGAAAGAAAGAAAGAAAGAAAGAAAGAAAGAGAAAGAAAGAAAGAAAGAGAAAGAAAGAAAGAAAGAGAAAGAAAGAAAGAAAGAAAGAAAGAGAAAGAAAGAAAGAGAAAGAAAGAAAGAAAGAAAGAACAAATGAACGAAAGAAAGGAAGGAAGGAAGGAAGGAAGGAAGGAAGGAAGGAAAAGATGTGTCTTGGCAATGCAATTGGTGACACCAGTCCAGCTAAGACCCACTGATGCACAGGGCTTTCTGCTCCTTCACCAGTTTTGCATCTGGACTGGTGGCCAGAGGGCACCCACCGCTGCCTCCAGGGGCTGCCACAAGCCCCACACCTATTTTCCAGCAGCAGGCGATGTTGCTGGGCTCAAACAGGTTAGCCCGGGCCGGCCCCACCCGCCCTCATGTGCCGCCTTTGCCGGGTTATTTCCCAAGCACAAAAATTCGGTCATACACTGTTTATTCACACGTGGAAATCCATTTCACAGTGATCCAAAGGAGTAGTTTCTAGTACCCAGCTAATGTGCTGTATGACTGAAAACCTCACTTAAAAATGATGCCTTTCAAACGTGCCGCCTATTTTTAATTTTCAATCTTGAAACCCAAGCAGAGCGACACGGCTAGTTCAGCGCTCCTCTTCGGGCGCATTTCGTCTGTTTTCCGTGGCTGCCCTTGCGTGTTCAGCCCGCGCTTCAGAGAAATGATTCCCGCAGCACAAGGAGTTTCTTTCTGCATTGCTCACAGGGTTTGTAATCCCGGGCTGTACTCATCTGGCACTCCCTTTTTCTAGGTGTTTTCACAAATTGTGGGTGTTTCAAGAAAGAGCTGCGTTTTGCCCTCTGTATGCAATACCGAGATCCTTTTTTAACCTCTTTCACTAGAGTATTTTATTCAGTTTGGTAAAATGGGTATTAGAAGTGATTCAGGCACCTCCAACAGACTAATTCCATTTACAAGGATGTTGGTGGCCCTGTCTGCTTCCCGCTGGAAAGAGAGGCTTTCCAGTGGCATCCGTACGAGCCACATCAGGCTGCCAGAGCGAACGTAAAGGTTGCAGTAGGCATGAATAGAAGAGACCCTGGAAAAGTAATTTGGAGCAAATTTCAGACCTGTAGAATCAAAGCAAGGAATTGAACCAGCAGAAGAGACGTCACCTATTAGGAAACTCCTCATTTGCTTGAGGCAAAGTACCCTGATTTCTCTCAAGCCAGCTCAGGCCCTCTTTTCTGGAAGCCAAATCCACGTAAGGAACAGCTTTACTGCGCGTCTTGCATGGGGGTTGGAGGGAGATGCAGGTGGTCTGGTAGGACCTCAGCCCCCTTTGATTGTTAACGTATTAATTAACAGCACTGTTGCTACCTCACGCGCTTTCCCTTCCTCAAAAGAGAGGAGGAAGGGAGCGTGTTGGAGCGGAAACAAGTCCCACGAGCTGCAGCGTGGCGATTTTGGGTGACGGCGGACAGACGGACAGCGCTGGCACTCGCAACCCGGGAGAGCAAATCGCAATGCTGAATTACCAGGAGGTTGTAAATTGCTCACCGAAGGCCCGATCCTGAACTCCCCGCAGAGATATCAAAGTCGCTGAGAGTTTTCCGTGAGTAGGAAGTGGAGGAATGAGCTTCAAACATTTAGGCCCAGCTCCACATGGGTGGTCTATTATGCCTGGACGGATTCCCACTGGCTCCAGCAGCACTCGGAGGTAGTGAAAAGGCTCTTCCTAAACGCACCCCATTGCAGAACCAGGGCTCTAAGTACTTTCTTTGAATGCTTACGAGGGACTTTGGTGGAAAGGCGAAGCCTCAGGCTCACCGCAGCTGCTCCGCAGTGCTTAGCCCAATATGTTGATATTAATCTGAGTTCGAAAAAGCACACATCGTTGGAGGGGGAAAGACTCCTGAACCCAGCGGAGTCCCGGCCTTTGATTCGCACTGTGAAAAGAACAGTTCAGCAATCAACAGCAGCCACAGAGAGAAAATACGTTTGCATCTGCCCAGCTACATCTGCAACTATTCAGAGGAGAGCATCCGAATTTGTTCCGCTTTTTGGTTGGCAGAGCAACAGTCAGCTCTGATGGTGGATGTGTATCGGTAGCATCCAAGCCAAGCAGATTAGAAACCAAATTCAAAAGCGTATTTCCCCCCCTTCCCCGACACACTTGAAAATAAACCTCCGTTTCTTTGTTCCCATGACCCTTCCATCCCACTCCGCTCAGGAATGTCGGGATTCTCAACGACCTTCCTCTTCTCGGGGTGATTGTCAAATACATTAATTCTCTAAATAATAAATCATGCAAACAAACCACTTACTATCCTATTAAGCGCAAGCAAGAAGTGTGCTTTCTGAAAGCTGGCAGACTTGGAAGCTCACGTAGGGGCTGGATATCGCTTTATTCACGAGCGGCCGCTTTTGAATGGACAAATAATTGATTTGGGAAGTTTATTTTATGAAAAGCGGGGTGCTTTCCCCCCAGCTATAGCACGTGATTGAAAGACCACGCTATTTCTATAACCTTGGGGGGCCCCCTCACACTGTTAACGGGACGGTTTCTGTGTTTAACTTAGAAGACCGGCGACGCGGTTGCAGATTTCGGGGTGCGCGGCCCCTGCCGTGGCTTGCCCTGAGCCCAGGCCAGCAGCCGCCTGGCAGCCCTCTGGGGCAGGGCCCCCCTTCACACCCCTGC